CTAATTCACAAGGAAGCACTATACCTGAATTTTTATTATAATCAAAAAAAAAGCCAACCCCACAAGGATATACAGCGCGCGGGGCAGGAAGCAGGGCATCAGGGGCAAAAGGGAGAGGGATGAATAATATTTTACGGAAACAGCGGGGCAGGGGAGGGGAAAGGGGTAAAGGGCAGCAAGAGACGAACTAAAAAAGGGTTAGGGGAGTGAAAAAAATTCAGAGTTTGGAAGTCAATCAGTCTTATCAAGAAGCAATGAGAGAGTCGGGATTAAAGGGGGGGTCCATAGCAAGAAGGGAAGGTAAAAGAGATAAGAAAAACGTTGGGGGAAATTCTGCGGCTCTTGATAGAGAGGCAGTCTAAAAAAAAAATTGGCTAATTGATACTGGAATTTGACACTGCCACAAGAGAAAAAGGGTACCTCCCCATGAGATCCCATAGAAAAGACGAGTGGGGCCAAATGCGAAGCGGAGGAGTGGTCCCCCAAACCTGGGCACTGATGACAAGAAAGGGCAGAAACCTATGCTCTTTTTAATAGAAGAATTTTTTTTTTACCGAGCAAGTTGCCAACGTTGTTCCCAACGGGGGAAGGGGGTAGCTTTCAGAAAAATAGTCCAAAAAGGGAAACACCCGATAGAAATTGGTAGGTCATGTACTGCTGACCCGCAGCAGTTCTGCCGTTCATTGCCCGTACGTCGACATGACCGGGGGACCCAACAAAAAACAATATCTTTTTTTTTGGGTACAATACGGCGTACCCAAATTTGGGATACGGAGAACTAGGGATGAGAGTTTCAAATTTTCGTATCCCGTAGGCACTAAGGGAGTCTGAACTACTACAAATGAACACGGGCATAGATGCGATACGAATAATGCGCAAGAATGGCAAACGTTAGCATAAAAATGCTACTGAATATAAAAAGTCCCCGCACGACGCTGTCCGGAAAACACTGCTGCAATCCGACGCCGTCTGAAGACTTAGAGCCATCTGTGTACACAGCGGTGACATGAGAATGGGAGGGGAAAGTGATCAACAAAAAGAGAGCGGGAAGCCACCGTAGGCATTTTAAGCTTTCGAGCAAGGGAGTGAGAAAGAACAGACCCGAACAGCTGGAACTTCCCAGGGGGGTAGGGAAAAGTGAGATGCTACATAAACATATAAAGGGGGTAACTGAAGGGAAGACAAGAGTGAATGTAGGCGAAGAAAAAAGGGGACGGAGCAAACAGGGGCGGCGAATGAATAAAGAATGCCCTACTAATATCGGTGACCATTCTATAAAATGGAAGGATTGTGTAGATCGTGAGAGCGTACATATAGCGAAGGCAAGGGGCATCACGGCGATCAGACAAGGATGGAACATTCGCTTCTGTATAAGGCTCTCAACAGGGAAGAGCGAAAAGCACCAAGGCACAAACGTAATCCTTGGTGATGGATAGAGTTAAGGCTAGAGAGAGTAGCAGGAAAGAGGCCGCGGAAAAAATCTGGTCATCATAATCGAGTTTCGATAAAACGAGGGCTGAATGTGGCGAAGCAGAGTTTGACGATCACTCCCCAGGAAAGATGAACAAGGGTTTTAAGAAGGTTTACCGGCTGTGACAAGTTGCCTTCAGAGAGGTTATGTGAGTTTTCCAGGATAACCGAGGGCCCAAAGAAAAGGCCTAGAAACCTGACTGGATCACGTTCGGGGATACAGGAGCCATAGAGATACAAAGGATGATCGGAAATAACAGAGCGTCTAGTGAAAGTAATTTGGCGAGTTTTGGTACTTGAAAATTTAAACCCATGCGTGGTGGCCCAAGTGGAAACACGGTCGACCGCATGCTGGAGAGAAACTGCAATAAGATGACAGTCAGCGCCTGCACAAGCAATAGCGAAGTCATCAACATAGAGTGATGACCAAATATTGGGTGGAAGAACAGAGGCCAAATCATTTATAGCAAGGAGAAAAAGTGTTGTGCTTGGGACACCTTCAGCTTGGACGAAGTCCGGGGAAAGAACATTATTGACTCGAACACGGAAATGTCTGTCAGTTAAAAAGTTCTTAAGGAAGGATGGTAGATTGCCTCGGAGGCCTAAGGAATGGGCCTGGGCCAAAATATCATACCTCCAAGTTGTGTCATATGCCTTCTCAAGGTCAAAAAATATGGCAATAACTGAGTGATTATTCGCAAAGGCATTACGAACATACGTATCCAAGCGTAGTAAGGGGTCTATGGTAGAACGACCCTTACGAAAGCCATATTGACTAGTGGAGAGACTGTTGTGTCTCTCTAAATACCACATTAAACGTCGATTTAACGAGACTTTCCATCACTTTGCAAACTGCACTAGTAAGAGCGATGGGGCGATAGTGGAGGCATCATGTCCTGTAGTACCCGTTCGCGGAAAGGGAGAACAAGGGCAGATTTCCACAGCTGGGAAGAACTCCTTGTGCCCCAAATAAGATTGAAGAGGTGTAAGAGGACTACAAGGGCTGACCGATGTAAATGTTGTAACATACGAATATGAATGTCGTCAGGCCCCAGCTGCCGATGATCGGCAAGCTGAGAGCGTTGCCTCCAGTTCTTGAAGTGTAAAAGGCACATTATACTGTTCTTTCCTCTGAGAGAAGAAAAGTCCAAGGTGCTAACTCTCTGGCAGACTTTGGGGAAAGAAACGAGGGCATAGATGGAGCCCTCGGGAAATACGGACCAAATGTGTGCCAATTTCAATGGCAACGTCGAGAGGGTTTTGCTACTCAACACCACGACCCGAGAACAGGAGCCGGGTCAGGAGAGTATTTACCACTCAATTTCCTCACTTTTTTCCAGATTGCACTCATAGAAGAAGCAGAGGTGATGGTGGAAAACATAGTCTCGCCAACAAGTGCGTTTAGCTTCACGGATGACACGGCGAGCGATCGCACGCTTCTGCTTAAAATCAAGAAGTCTCTCAGCGGTTCTATTGTACCGGTACCTGCCCCATGCAGCACTTTTCAAACGTACTGCACGAGCACAAGCAGGAGACCACCAAGGCACGCACTTCTGAGAATGCCTGCCTGAGGTTTGGGGATAGAATGAGAAGCTTTTGGTATAAACCTGGACGTCGAGAAGATGTGTAGGAGCTCATCAATGGAGGATGAAGAAGGAACCTCACTAAAAGCAGTGAGGTGTGAGTAAAGATCCCAACTTGCCAGCGAGGGCTACGGAAAGGTGGTGAATAGGAAGGAGAAGTAAGAATGATCGGAAAATGATCGCTGTCATATAAGTCTGGTAGAACAGACCAGGTGAAGTCTAGTGCAGTGGAGGAAGAGCAGACTGATAGATCGATGCAAGAGAAAGTATGAGTACGAGGATCAAAATGGGTGGGAGTACCCGTATTTAAAACATGGAGGGGGCGAGAGGCGAGAAAAGCCTCCAACTGAATGCCACGTGAGTCACAATGAGACCCCCCCCCCCCCAGAGATAATGGTGGGCATTAAAATCACCAAGTAACAGAAGTGGTGGTGGTAAGGATGAAACAAGAAAGGCAAAGTCTGGGATAGAAAAATGCCGAGAAGGAGAGAGATATAAAGAACATAAATTTTAAACCACTTATTCAAGTGGATACGGGCTGCAGTGTAATGCAGCGAGGTATGGACAAATAGTTGACAGTACGGAAATCTTGCTAGAAGAAGGGCACTTTCATTAAAGGTCCCATCTGAGAAAGGGTCCGAAGAATACAATAAATTATAGCCTGAGATAGGTTGGAAAACAGCCGAGTGTAATTTTGGTTCTTGTAAGCAAGCACCAACAGGGAAAACCTGGAAAGCAACATCTGAAGCTCACCCCATTACCCTGAGGCCGCGGATATTCCACGTAAATAGGCCATGATTGGCGATGAAGAAAATATCAGGAATCTGTAGGTAAAGGCACCTACGGACTAGAGGGGTTAAAAAAGTCAACGTGTGGTGGCATTGGAAGACTTCAAGTAGCGAAGGAACGGAGCGTTGTGAAGAGGGAAGAGAAGGAACAGGAAGTGAATCAGTGTCCATTGAAGGTTTAGTCTCTGCAATATATTCTGAAATGGCTTCAAGTGTTTCTGAATTTAAAGACG